GGGCTGGCATGGGGAGGTTCTGGGGGGATTGGTTTCAGGGGGGCTCTGGAAAAAGATATACCATTTATACCAAACTGACACAATCAAAAAAAAATGAACGCATGTGAAACTGACACATCAAATTTTAGAACAGAGTAGAGGTGAGGGGGGAAGGTTAGTGTCTGTGAGGTAATGACATAGGGGTGATAATTGGGGAAGCTAGACCAGACTAACACGGCTGCATCTCTATCACTGTCATTCTTGCTGTCAGCCTACAGAGGGCAGTAGGATCAGGGCCCATGGACTGCCTTCATACCTGTGTGTTTCTCCTCTCTCACAGATGGGCAAGGGCAGGGGCAGGAATTGGCTCCTCCCCCGTCCTTGCTCAGCCACTGGGCACAAGAACATAAGCTGTTCCTCGGAGAGCTCAGGCTTTTCGGACGGATCAGTAGGGAAGCAGGGACTGAATGAATATTCCATGTTACTGTTTAGTCCCTGCTTTGCTCCTGGGAAAGCGCAGCTCTGCACTGCCTATTACTCAGGCCATTTTGTAAATTTACCATCTCAAACCAATGAAGAAATTGTCAAGGCTGTTATTCCTTCATTTTGGGTGCGGTTCAATGACCCTGACATTTTGGGACCACTATCTTATATTGGCATAATGGTTAAATGGGTGGTGACGTCTTTCTGTGGTATTTGCTAGTTTAAAGATTATTAGAGATAAGCAAGTTGAGTAGGCACACATTAACAAGAGAGTTACGTATGCAGATTAGATATCTGTCATGTGTTGCATACTTCTGATTTACAAGGCCATAAAAAAACCTGGGTGCACCCTCCTAATTTCTTCATTTACGGGATTGTGTCATGTCAGAACTAGTTGTCCCTTGACAATCCATCCAGGAAAGGGGACAGTATAATTGGACTGTTGTGTATGGATTAGGGATGTCAACGTGTCATTACATGATTAACTGATAAGCCTGGATCTCCATGCGTGCCAACTCCACGGAGCCGCCTGCTTCCTCCTCCCCCTCTGCCTCCCACATAGGCAGCGAAGTGGGGGGCAGGCAGGGGTCAGTGCTGCACCGACTCTAGTGCAGAGGTGCCTCTCCTCCACCTCCACCCTGCTGCCTCTATCAGAGATAACAGCATGGAGTGGTGTAGAGGGCTCCTCAGGAGTGAGGCGGGAAGCATACTGGCTGCTTGCCTTACCTTCAGGGACTAATGAATAATAATGTAACCACTAAAATGTGACGTGGTTACACGATTATTCAATTAAATGATATCTAATATCCTTAGTATGAATAGCACTGTGGATGTTCTAAAAGAAGACGTTACTCATGCTTTAGGGCAGATTTCTCAGGGTACATAGATATGGTCTTGACTGAGTTTTGTGGCATGAAACTGAAAAATAATGCTCAAAGAATTAAAATCAGTTCCCCATTTCATTATTGTCATTGTCACCTGGTCTGTGAGTAAACTGATTTAAGAAACCTGCCCACTTATAATGCTTCCTTTCATGTACATCTCATGCCTTTCTTTCTAGACAATCTCAAAAGTGCTGTTCAAATTGCAATTATAGACAGTTGAATAATAAACAATTATCCATTGTCATGCAGCCATGTCTGTGATGAAATGTGACTACTGATTAGTATTGATCAACAAAGGCTACCCAGCAGTTGTGGATTGGAAGGGAGAGATGCCTTTATTGAGTTTGAATTGCTGGGGGAATCTAGGCAGGCAGAATATATTTACCCGGTGAGAGCCTGGCCAGTTTTTCACTTTTACCAAAAAAATTGTGTGGGTTTTTTGTTTGTTTTTTGTTTGTTTTAAATTACCAGAAACCCTCAAGACCTCATCCTGATAGTATATCTCCGGTGAAAGAAGGCACCACCAGTAGCAGGGTGCCTCTCAACAATATGCTAGCACCTTGGTTGAATGCTGACTTGGATAGAAAAGTGCAACCTGGCTCCTGTCCACACACAGTATTTCCCCATGGGTGTCTTCCACCCAAATACCATTTTACCTGAGCACTTTACATGTGTAGCCGCTGTCCAGCTGACAGCACAGAGAGTGCCATTTCTTGTATGTACCTGCTCTGAAACGTAACAGCATCTGTTTAGACAGGGGATTGGAGAGGCTTGATGTTGCTTCTCATATCACTTCAGGAGATGTAGCAAAGCCACAGAAGTGTCCCTTTCTTCCCCTTTTGGGGCATGTCTATGCTAGGAAATTATTTCAGAATAACTTATTTCAAAATAATAACTCACAAAATGACTATTTCGAAATAGCGTGTCCACACTACAGGGGAGCCTCAAAATTAGTCCCAGGCAGGGACTAATGGTTGCGCTACCTCAACGTAAAGCCTTGGGAAGTACTGGGGAGTAAATACTTTGAATGACTCTGGGGCGTAGTTATTTCAGAATAGCAGCAGTGGAACATCCACACTATTGCTATTTCAAAATAAGCATTATTGCTCATGGAAATAGGAGTTATCATATATATAGTAGCCCAATGTCTGTGACTCTGTAATGCTGAAACGATGGCTGTTCCCTCTGGGCGGCGCTGTTGCCTCCCGCCGTGGTGCTCGGTTGACTTCTGCGCCACTCAGCCAGGCCACCGCGGGGGAGGAAGCGGCACAAGCGGCCGTTTGGTCCCCATGCAGCACCGTGGTCCCCATGCAGCACCCCTGTTTTTTTCCGACATTGGTAAGCCTCTTTCTATGAGGAAGAATCCTTTTTCCGAAAGAGCTCTTTTGGAACAAGTTGTGTGTGCAGACAGGGAAGAGGGAGTTCTTTTGCAAGAAGACGAAAAAGCACAGGTGCCCTGGTGGCCACTTTGTCCATAGTAATCACAGCTTAAATGCAAGATAGCGTCCACACTGAATGGATGCTATCTTTCAAAAAAGCGGATCGCTTTTTTGATGCGCTTTTGCTGTGTAGGTGCTCTCTTGTGTGTGCATGTTGAGTTTTAAATATTTTATTTTCTCTTTATTTTTGGGGTCTCCTTATTTCAGGCCACCTGTGAGCAGTCCCTGCCAATCAGTCTGACAAGAACTTTAGAAAGAGAGGCACCGAAGTCAATGCCACAAAGCAAGGTACAGTAAAATGGGTATATTGGCAGGCACACCGCTCTGTTTGTAATGGGGTTCCCCCCATGGTTTATGAATATGCATATCTTGGAGATGCTTTAGACAAAATATCTCATGTAACATATCAATTTAAAAGTTATAATCTGTTGAATGAATGTATCCTATTTTTGTGCATGTGTCATTCTTACACTGTATATGAAATTAGAAATATGAAGGTTGGAACTGATTATAATTCTAAATGTACTAATGAGAGCCATTACTGATACTATAGAAACTTAATGGCTCCCTGATCAAGCCAGCAACCTGTGAATGGTTTTATTCTTCTTCCAGTGATTGCTCATGTGCATTCCAGTAGGTGAGTGGGGGTGTTGTGTACATGTTGGTCAGAAGCCTTTCCCCCTTGCAGTACCTGTGGAGCCCCCTGGAGCGGCACCTCTCCCCCCAGTTCATTCTTACTGCCAGAGAGGGTTGTTGGAGCATTTGTTCTCCTGTTCTGCAAGACAACCTTAGCTGTTTTCTTCGCTTGTTGCCTGCTCATAGTCAGTTAGCTGTTACTGTTAAGAGTGAGTTAGTTGATAGTTTTAGTTGGGGGTCTGCCCTCCTTGCTTTTTGTTTATTTTTTGTTCTCTGTTCAAGTTTCCCCCTGTGGTATGCAATGGAGGTTTAAGAACTGTCTCTCTTGCAGAAAGCCTATGTCCAGAGGCAATCTGCATATGGCTTACCTCAAATCTCCTTCACCTAAATCATTCCAGCACCAACCCCCCATACTCACAATTACGACAGATGCCTCCCTTACGGGTTGGGGAGCCCATTTAGGGAACATCACAAGGCAAATGGTCCTTCATGGAACAAACCTTTCATATCAACCTCCTCAAATTACGAGCACTCAGATATGCATGCCAACACTTCGAACCGTACATAGCTCATAAGTCCATTACCATCATGACAGACAACACCTCCTGCATGTATTATATCAACCGGCAGGGGGGTGCACGGTCCCCATCCCTTTGCACGGAAGCCATCAAGTTATGGAACTGGTGCCTGGCACATCAGGTCACCCCAATAGCTTCTGACCTTCCTGGGGTACTCAGCGTCACAGCGGATGCCCTAAGCTGCACATTCTACGATCAACACAAATGGGAGATAGACAGACATACTTTTTCTCTGCTATTCTATCAGGGGGGCCAACCAGACATAGACCTCTTTGCCATGAAAAACAACAGGAAGTGTCGTCTCTACTGCTCCAGAACAGCCTTAGGGAGACACTCCCTCGGAGATGCTTTTTCCATCAGGTGGGATACTCCTCTCCTCTACGCCTTCCCTCCCTTTCCCCTCCTACACAAAGTCCTCAACAAGATCAGGACAGACCAAGCTCGGGTCATACTAGTGGCACCAGCGTGGCCTAGACAGATGTGGTATCCTTACCTTCACAAGATGGTGATGATGGACCCATATCTCTTCCCACTCCATCATGACCTCCTGTCACAGAATTACAGGAGGACTCTCCATCCAGAACTCCACAAGCTTCATCTCCATGCCTAGCTCCTTCATGGCTCCAGGATGCCGAAAATTCCTTTTCAGAGCCAGTGAAAGAGATACTGATCAACAGTAGAAGACAGTCCACCAGGAGAACATACCTATATAAATGGAATAGATTTTCTCACTGGTTTAATTGTTCACATACAACACATCCGGAGTCCGCCCCCCTCCCTATTTTGTTGGACTACTTATTATCCCTGAAACAGTCAGGCCTCACTCTTAGCACCATCAAGGTCCACGCTGCTGCCATAGCAGCTTTTCATCATTCCACCGATCGGGTTTCCTTCCTCGCTAATCTGATAACAAAATGGTTCCTTAAGGGCCTGCAAAACACTTTCCCACCCGTCTGCCCTCTGATCCCTGTCTGGGATCTGAAACATGTTCTAAAAAGCCTGACAAAGCCACCGTTTGAGCCTCTAGCCACCCGTTCTTGGTCTCACCGTTCCATGATGGTGTCCTTCCTGGTCACAATAACCTCCAGTAGGAGGGTGAGCGAACTCACCGCCTTGATGGCTGAAGCCCCATACACGGTGTTCACAAAGGACAGAATGATACTCCGACCCCACCCGAAGTTCCTCCCCAAAGTCCCTTCTCCCTTCCGCGTCAACGAACCCATACACTTACCTGCCTTTTTTCCTAAGCCGCATGCCAATCCAGTTCAGGCCGCATGGCACACTCTCGATATCTGTAGAGCACTGGAGTTTTATGTGGAACGAACCAGACCCTGGCGAGTCTCCCCTACGTTGTTTTTGTCCTACGCTGAATAAACCAAAGGACAAGCAGTTTCATCTCAGAGGATTTTGAAATGGATCACCTCCTGTATTCAAACATGTTATACATTATATGACAAAGACTTACCTGAAAGCAACACAGCTCATTCCACCAGAGCGATGTCTTTCACAACTGCCTTCCTTAGCAGCGTTCCTCTTCAAGACATCTGCAACACGAACACCTGGTCATCTGACCACACATTCGCGCAACATTACACTTTCTCCTCTTCATTTACACTGGTCTACAATTTTTTAGAAGTCATCTGCTTCAGAGATAAAATGTGCTATTTATTATGTATTTTGATGTGCTGAATTCAAATATGACAATTAAAACAACTGATTGGCTACTGTTTCCAAGATATTTAAGTTTTTACATTTTACGTCTATGTATATTGTGTAGATAGTAGAGTTTTAATCATAAATTGTAAACCTAGGTCTTTTCATGTGTTTATGGTTGCTTTACATGATAATATTTCACCTGTCCTGTTTATGTAGCACTTTAAAAATCAGCAAAAGGGTTATATAAATAAAATTTATTATGAAACAAAAGGCAAAAAACTATTATGTACATAGTTTAGTCCTATTCAGTGTCTACTCGGCGCTTCTTGGCTTGTCTCTT